TAGTCTAACATTCTTATAATTAAATTATACAAGAATAACTGGAAAAAATCACCTAGAAACAAGAAAGATGGAAGAAGTAGGAAAAATCCACGTTCTTGGCTCAAATCTTGAAATGGGGCTATGAATCTTTAAAATCCTTGTATAATTCACTTAGAATTGACATATAGACTTGTTCTACGCTTCTAAAATATGTTGAATATGATAAAATTTAGGTCGAATAGAGGAACTTCACATTTTGGTTGAGATTTGATATTTAAAGGATGCCAAAAAGATTGTATTGAATTGTTACCAAAACAAAAATAAGAAAAATCAAATGCTTTCCATATTTTTATTGAGGCATGGGCCTAGGCATAGCAAGGGCTCACATCTCTTCTGTAGGCCTAGGCACTCTTAGGGGTATCCCGAGTAGCTTTCAGTAACTTTCTCTTCCAATATTCGTTTGAGGTGATTCAAAATGCATTGAAAAGATAACTCAAAGGGCTACAATTTTACTAGAAATAATACTTTTCCAATTCAGGCGCTTGCTGTGCCCAAAAATGGGTCTCAATATGCGGCTGAAATAAGATAATACTTTGTTTATACTTCACTCTTTTGACTTATTTTCTTATCCACTTCACCCCTAGCACATCTCAAATTTTCATCGTGATGTCCAATATAACTTTTTAGTATTTGCACTTTAGTCCACCGAACATTAGATTTCACTATTTTTCCTTTCTTTCAATTCTTCATCAAATCATTGAGTTTTACCTATCAAATACAATATACAATGAATTAGTTGATATTTCATAAAAAGAAATATAAATGTTATTATTGAAAGCCCCAAATAATTGTATAAAATACCCTTATCAAACCTCGAAACTTGAATATTTTTTATCCTCGAACAAAACCACGAACTAACTTGAAACAAACACACAAGCATGTAAAAGGTTTGGATCGATAACCTGGCTTTTGACCTCAGGATTGAAATCATAATATCAAATTTATAAACACCTTCAAGTTTACATTACCAAAATCAATATCCATTTTTCAATGCAAAACAGTGTGTGTACGAGTGTGAAGAATTAAGTAGAATGTCATGATTCCACAAGTTGTTTCATTACCGACTCTAAGTGGTCAAATTTGTCCTTTCATCACTCATAAGATTTGCACACCCCTAAACTTATGCTTTTGCCTCTCTAGTAATGTGTGATCTAAAGTTGAATCTCTATACTTATCCTTACCTCTCTAGTTTAGATAGATTTCACTAATTGTAAGTCAACACTTCAACGGACAAGGATTATCCAATTGTTTTGATTAATTTAATCTCCAAGACTCAACTAGGCTAATAATATACTATCAAAAGTCAATTTTCTCAAACAAGTGTTTGGGGCTTAACCAAGGCATATTAGTGCAATACCTCTATTAGTGCAATACCTCTCATTAAACATCACTAAGTAAAGTGACATCTGACTTAAAACTTTCACAGAAGATTTTATCCCATTGATCTTAGACATCATCCAACTATATATATTTTATCCCATTGATCAAAGCAAAACTTCTAGGGAAGATTAGTGAAATACCTCTTATTAAACATCATCCAAATATATATATTTTATCCCATTGATCTAAGACAATCCACAGAAGATTTTTCGCATGTGAAATTTCTATTCATATCCATATATTCCTACAACAGTAAAATCACCCTTAAAACTATGCTAAATTTAGTCAAATGATGTATAATGAAGTAGTTCGAAGTCGATATCTAAGGTCCTCTATTTCAACCTAACAAAATATGAATCAATCCATTCAATCATAATGTCTAACTTAATTCATGTGCACAAGTAATATCAAATTTCACATAGAAAAGCATCAATCTATGCATGCAACTTATTCACATTTCATAAATTAGTACATAATTTTAAACCAATATCGAAGAAACGAGTCTATGATTAACTTGAAATATAGATGTAGCATATGATTTATCGAAATTTGAGCAAAATTTTCTTTGTAATATGGATAAATCAACCTAATACAATACAATATACATCCATACAGATATATAAAATAAATTGGGGCCCTTCTGCCTGATATGATATGATATGAGCTCTTACCGGAATCTAAAGATATGATATGACTGTATGATTATTTTGATGCCTGATTGAATATTTTATTGGGGATCGCACCATTAATCGTATCCTACTGAGTATAAATTACTCATTCCTTCAATTTTTAACATCTCAAGTTAGGTCGGTCGACGGAGATGGTGGCTGAGCGGTGCGCGGGTTGCCAAGTAAAGAAAGTTCTCAAAAAAATAATAATAATATTCATGGATATTTATGTTGGAATATATATATTTTTATTTCCATTTAATGCTTTAAATTCAATGACATTTTTATTTTATTAAGTGTTTTAAATTTCCAATTAAATTTTTCCGCTTCAAGTATGTATATGAAATGATATCGGTAATATCTCAAATTTAAGTTCATAAAATTTGGGGCGTTACAGATAATATGCTTACAAATTAGATTTTTTGTTTACATAGAAGATAATTTGTCTGAATCTTAGGTGCTACATTTACGCATTAAATATTTTATTTACATCATAGATAGTTTGCTCACATCGTATGTTATTGCATATTGATGCTTTGTCTGCAAGGTTTGAAGTAACAGTATTTTTTGTACAAAGCTAGCAATATGATGTTAATAGCAATGTAAATAATGTGATATGCATATGTGTATAATGCGACATGTATGTATGTGGATGATAATGTGGATGGTTCAGTATGCATACATTGGCAATGCTGAAAATGATATTATTGTACTTAGCAGCATTAATATCATACTAATGGTTATTCTTATCTCAATAGTCCCTCAAGTCCGAGCTTAACATTTAATGTTAGATATTGGATTTGTAAGATGTAGCCATATATGGCAAAGAATTTAATGAAATGAGTACTTATAGTCATCTCGCAAATGGGTAAAATGATCCTTTCATAGTGACGAGGAATAATAATTTTTCCCTCCCATGGAAAAAATGAATTTTACTCTTTTTCCTCTTGTGGAGAAGAAAATTTTTGCTGAGAGGTCTTATAGGCTCATCTTGTTGTTGCGAGGTACATGAGCTTGTCTCAATAATGTGAAGTCTTCCAAACTATCCTCATCTATGCAAGGTCTGATAGTTTGCCTCGAATGATAATCATGAGCTAAGGCCTTGGGCCATTGTGATTATAGAAACTTCCCCTACTACTTGTAAATTATCTTATTGGGAGGTAGGTATTTCAACTTACCCTTTACAGCATCAGATACTCGTTTTCCTAATAATGGGAGGTCTCAGGAGCTTGCCTTGTTGCGAGGTCTTACAGACTTGTCTCCATAATGCAATGCAAGAGCCACGGTACAACTTCCAACATTTTGATAATGTTCCAGGGCACAAAGAGAGTTCGAGAAAATAGTAGGCTCTGACGTTCGCACCAGCCAACCTCTAAATGTATCACATTATCTAAAATGTATTTTCTCCAACAGCCATATGGAATATTTAAGGACATGATCCAAGCATGCTCACTTTTGAAACAAGGACCAAATTTTCACCGTTTGCCCACAGGTGAGCAAACTGATGGTCTCCAATTATCTTCTCCAGAAATAGAAAATGACACGATCAGATTTTTATTTTTAAATTTCACAGCCACATTGATTTTTCATCACAAGTCCGTACCTTGAAAATTTTCAGTTCAATGGAACAACATTGGTCTCTTATGATGTCATAAGGCTGCGCAACGAAGCTTTAAACTAGTATGATAGGGTGGCCTCTTATGATGTCATAAGGTTCACTACTAGCTACGAAGGCTGTAATGCCTCGTGGTTATATCTTAGAATGATTCTAGCCTTGATTTGTGACAAGGAAACTCATTGGAGAATAAATCAGATAAGTTATGCTATCTTTAGGAAAAGATTCAGTAGTGAAACGGTTTCTGCTGTCGCCTGCTCATGAAGCAAAAAATTCAAGCTCATTAATCATAGATATCTGCACTAATCTCTTCAAATCTAGCCAGATGAACAACTAAGAACCCTCAAAATATCATGGTTTTAAACCAGAAGTCAACTAAACATAAGTATGGCAACAGGGAAACCTAAAATTGAACCATACATAACCAACCAGGAAAGAATTCAAACCCACAAATACCACCAGAAAGCAGCAATTTCAGTTTTAACCTTTCAAGGATTCATCATTCATCATCCGGTAGCCTCCAAAGTTGACTTGCCTCATAGAGTGTTTCGTATCTAGCAATAAGAGAATAGACGTTGCCAATAGTTTATTAATTCAAAGCCTGCAAATCATATTTGAAGCAATGGAACCATCTAAAACTGGTTCGGGCATTTAACGAGCATTTCGTAGGCAATTTCAGGTATCATATAGGATTGCTTAAATTTTAAGTTCCAACGCAAGATTTCTACCAGCTTATGCAAGGATTAATGAGTAAGATTTAGAATAAACCTCGTGTCTATAGTTGTCTGAGCAAAAGGCTTGCAAACTCATGTTTCAAAACTGGCTTCCCTGGTCGAGTAATTTGAAAAGGTCCAAGTCAGACATTTCGTTAAACAACCTGTGTGCGAGGTTTCCTTCCTAATTTATGGAAGAATTGGCAACTTCAATTGTTACATCCCATTTTATACTAGTCAAAACTCAATATTATTTATTCAAAGTCAAAGGTTCAACTAGTCAAAACCAATGTCAGTTAGGGACTTAAATGAAATTAATTAGTTTATTGGGGTTTATTTTATGATTTAAGATATATGAATGTTTAAGATGGACATCATTTAAATTTGGGAAATATTTATTAATTATTAGAAGTTAGATGACTTAATAAGATATCATGTGAAGTTTGGAGGACTTGATAGCAAAAGTGTTTAGTTGGTGGATTACAAGTGGCACCTTGCAAGCCATTTATTTCATTTTTCATATTACATACATAAACATAAAGAAGCTAGAAACTGGGGCAGAAATAGAGAGAAAAACCGGCAAAAGAAAGAGAAAAAGAGAAGAAGAAAAGAAGAAAGAAAAGGAAGAAGAAGGAAGAAGAAGAAAAAATGATGGCAATACCAACATGGACCTTAAAGTTCTTCCTTAATTACTTCAGGTAAGTAAAAGATGTACTTATGGGAAATAATTCTTGAATTTAAGGTTTGTAAACAATTACTCATGTTAAAGTTATATTTGAGGTTATAACTAAATTATGGCAAAGAAATATGTAATTGTAAATTAGTGTTGAAGAAAGTGGAATTTGAGATGGGTCTTTGAAAGAAATACATATTTTTGAAATTCTTGGGACTATATGATGTTAAACACTTAAATTAAGGACTTGAGGTTGAAATTTTCCATTTTTCCTAAAGAAATTTTCAGGTTATGTAATGAAGGTGCTATTTTCTAAATTTTCCCAGAAAAGTGTTATTCTGTCCATATTTTGGTGAGTTTTCTATATATAGAATTTGGTGTCATAATTCAATATTGTGGAACTTTAGTGCCCTTTTTGTCAAATATTTGATTTTCAGATTTTTAAGGTTCCAATGAATGTGAAATGCTGAAGCCTATGTATTGGACTAAATTATATATAGGGGTTGCGTATATACAAGCTAAGTTATACCATTTTTTATAAACCCGAGAATTTTAATTAGATACTTGAGTAAAGATAGTTTGGGAAAATGATAATCATCACGAAATATTCACTTGGAAGAATGGTTTTATGGAACAAATGTAAATTTAATTGGCTGAATTATGGTTATTAGCTTTGCTAGATTGGAAGATGGGATAATTATTTTCATGATTAGAATAAAGGTTATGTGATGAATTAGCTATTAGATAATGGACTAGAAAGTGGAATTAGCTTGAAGTGATTAAAGGAAATTGGGGAAAGTTATTCAAGTATCGAGAAATCAAGTCTTAGATTTGATCATCAATATTTAAAACTACTTAGCAAGATAGTGGTTAAATTAGTTATTTTACATTGTCTTTCAGGTGGTGGCGAAGAGATGGGAAAAACTTGTCGACCATCATGACCATTAGCTTGTTTAGAGTGAGTGGATATCGCATTTATTTAAATTATATTAGTTCTCAAACTTATATGAAATAGTTGTTCATTAGATTTCTTATAGTAAATCATACAAGCTACAAAATTTATTTATTTCAGAAGATTGATTTAGAAAGTGTGATTTCAGAATTAAGTTATGATTTTTTTTTTAAGTAATGCTTCTAAAAGAGAAATTCAGTTCAGCTAAATTATTTCATTGGCTTGTTATATGAGTATTAAATGTCTCATCATATTTAAAGTTATTTTTAAAACTACCAGAAAATACCCAGGTGATTTTACCCTAGTCTACATTGGTGTGAATGTATTTTCATAGTGTATGATCCGTTATGGTTATTTTACCCCCTCTGCACTAGTGTGAATGTGTTTCCACAGTGTATGACCAGTTATGATGATTTTACTCACTCTGCACTATTGTGAATGTGTTTCCATATTGTATAACCAAATTATTAGAGGTCTTTGGAACCCACTCTCGTACACACATTAGCTTTGGGTCGTGTACTAGGGTGATTAGTCTTTGGGACAGCTCTGCATACGTATGTCTAGGTTATTGGATTGTCAGATTATCAAATTTGAACGGCTTTGTCTTGTACATCGAGATTACTCTATACATGAGTAAGGCTATTCATTGGGTACCTTTTCGGTGTGATTTTTTAGTATTTCTACAGCTTATCAGATTTCAGATTATAGAATTCAGTTTATTCAATTCTCAGAATAAAGCTTTCAACTTATTGTATTGAGTAGCAGTAATATTTTATGGATTTTCATTGATATCGTAATATTTATATTCACAGTTACTTATCTAAAATGAAAAACAAAGAATTTTATGATCCAATAATGTTTTAGTTTTAAAAGTGTTACTAGATTTCAGAATTTCTCAAAGTTTAATAGAGTAAGAATTTTCTAAAAATATGCATAAAAGAAAAAGTGTACTTATTTGCAAATTATCCACTCACTAAGCCTTAATTTCATATATATATTTTTTTACCTTTTTCTTTATCAGACAAATAGTAGTCAAATTGAGCAGCTTTGGAGCCTGTCAAACCTCTAAATTGAGCCATGCATCATAGGTTGTATGATATCCTTTATTGGATTATATATTATGAGTTCTTTTGGGATATAAGTAGTTTAAATCAGAAAAGTTCATTTTGGGCTCATTAAATTTCCCATGATATGAGAGAAAAAAAAGCATTTGGTATCTTTAGTATATTTGAGGATTATTTGTTGTAAAGCAAGTAAATATTGAATGGCCAGCATTTTATTTGAATAGTTTGTATTTTGAGGGACTGGCGTACCCTGATTTATATTATAGGTATTGATTTGAGGAAAATTAGTTATTGTTCAGGTGGTTTTAGTTCATATTTTAGAGGAAACCTTGTCAAAATTTTGTTAAAGATATTTTTTAATCAGACAAGTTAAGGTTGCTTTGGTGGTAGGTCCGACACTTAGTTGGTATTACCATCGGCACACGACACGTGTCGGATCTATTAGGGTGATTCAGGACAGGTCGTGTTAAATGGTATCAGAGCGTGGTTCAGTGGTTGTTAAGCTCGAGTAAGTCATGAATTTCTTTTTCAGAATAGCATGTCATCAAGATTGTTAGTCGTGGCGTGGTGGCAAAACTCATAGGCTCCAATGTGGTATTTGAAACTCATATTGCCCCTGATAACGAGGATATGGCAATTAAGAAAATAAGAATGAACTTTATTGATTTGAGCATAATAAGTATGAGGATGTTATTGAGAATTATCCGATTGTAATGAGAGTTGTTAGAGTTGTCATGTTGGCGCCATGATATATTTTCTCTAATAAATCAATAATTGCTCTATATATCCAGCAGGCAATTAAGTAAAGGGTATAACTTTTCTTAGTAATGAGATTTATTGGGTATGGGTTTCTTTTATGACTATTAGAGGAAATGTCTTGTAGATGCCTTGGATGATGAGTATTGTTTTATGTTGATATATGTATAGTTTGTGGCATTACGAGTTGAAATCATGATTGCTTTGTAAGATAAATGATTGAGGTACTATGAGAATTATTGTGGGAGATTGTGAACAATATATGGAGAAAGATGCATATATTAGAAAATCAAGATGTGGAGATATGATAAGGAACTTGTTTATGAAAAAAAAATTAATGATAATAATGAAACCATATGGAATGTTGATTCATGACGAAAAATGGTGTTATTGAATATGTTTTACTTTGTGATTTTGAGTAAATCAATGCAACCGTTGCCCATCTTTTGTTGTTTCAAGGACAAGCAAGTATCTAGGTTTGTACTTCAACTACTATTGAAGGAATGAGGATTGAAATTTATATTGCTATGTGTGTATCTAATGGGTGACATGAATAAGAAATAGCGTAAAGTTGAAGAACAAGAGAGAATAGCCATGATTAAATGTTGAGATCATACAGTATCAAGATATCCAATGTAACAAGGTTTTATGATTCCGAAGGGCATTGTGAATAATGGTACACTTATAATTAGTGGTCCGTCAAAATAATATTGGAATGATATATTTAGTTTGCTAAGTGAAATACTCTTCTCATGACCATAAGTGGGATTTTTGTGTTAGATTAAAATCGATTGAGACGAAATGTTAAATTGTAATTATAAGTTGAGTTCTATGAGTTTTGTGTTGCTATTAGATTACTATCTCTGCATTTGTGATTTTGAATTTCATGAATTAAGAATTTAATTCTCATTAAGGTAGTATGATAAGGAATTCATGGACGATAGGTTATGTTATTGTTGAGACTAGGATTAAAGAATGTTTATTTTAGATATGAAGGTAGCTTAGCTTAGGTTATTCTATCATAAATTTTTTATAGATATTTGAAAATCAATAAGGATTTGGATTCACATTGCATTATCGAGATCATGGCATTCTAGTGTGGGAAATAAACTTGGTGGTCGAAATGATATTTATTAAATAGGGAAAAACAAAATCTTGGTGTTATATTCTATTTCTTATTCGAGAAAAGAATGAGATAGAGAATAAGAAACAAAGAAGCTGTCACATTCAAGTTTCTTACCCTGTTTTTCAGCATTTGCAGATAGGTTATGTGACTGAGAAGTGTTAAAAAGAATATATTATTAACATACAGAATCTTGATGGTACATTAATGTGTTAAATGTCAAGGAGCACAATTTTTATGATCCTAAGGAAATAGGTATAATCAAATGTATCAAGTTATACAATGTGAGCATAAATGACAAGGTTACTTGATATGGTGAATATCAAGTAAAAGAATATTATGGTTGTCTTATAGTCAAATAATGTGATGAGATATTTGGGTTATTAAGTTAATTAATTTTTTTATGGCTATTGGTTGTATTATTATGTTATATTACATACCATTTGGAAGCTTTGGGCTAAATTTTGGTAGTTAAGGTGAATTTGATGTACTTTTGGTGATGTAATTTTTGGATTAGTTTCGATTGTATTTTTTTTGAGTTCATGAATAAAGTATTCATCTTTATTGAGAACTATTCACTATGGAATATAGGGATGATACGGTGGATACCCTAAATTATATGGTGATCGTCTAATGTAAATTTTACTCGATCGTAGAATGGTATCCTTTGGGTTCATTATCTAAATTAAAGGTCTTTAGGTAATATACAAGAAAGCTTATGCATTGGCAATAGGTCAATGACCTCCTTATGGAATAAGAGTATAGAATTATCATGAATTAAATGTGATTATTGTATCCTCATAGAAAGAAAGAGCACCAAAATTGTGTGGGTTTAGAAATGTAAAAGTTTTGCATTCAAATTAAATTATGAGACAATATTTACCCTTGTATCTAAAGTTGATGAGTGTTTGATTTATGATAATAGATTATGTTAAGGCTTAGAAAGTATACTGAAGTAAATGATGAATTATGGATTATACTACAGATTGTTAAAGAGGCATAATTTAGACATGATTTATAGTTGGTTATATTGGGGTTGAATTTAGAAACTGTGGTGTTATGCCATTGCGAAAAACATTGATACTTATATATCATCGTAGTTTAAGGTATATTTCAATTTGAAAGGGTTGAAATTGAAGTTGTGTATATATTATCATTGGGTGATATAGAATTAAAGGAAAAGAACACCATATTGAGCTTTATCAATTGTTGTTGAGGATAGTTAGAATTTTAGAAAATCGTGAACAATTGAATTTTTGTACATATTGTCAAGCAAGAATTGGATTAGTTACCCTCAAATATTTTTCATTTTGGGGTTCCAAGTACACAGGATCGAGATAAAAATGCTATTGGAATCATTATTGATAAAGGTTACAAGATTCTTTTCAAATGATATAGTTAGTGCATGAGGTAGATTTATAAATTTATATATTGATATTGATATAGGAAAGGTCAAGGAAAATCTAAGGACAAGAAAGAATAAATTCTGTATAGTTAAATTAGTGTGCTAGTTAACTTGTAAGAAGGCAATCAGTAGAAGAGACATCACGGGAATATGAAGATCAGGCATGCTCTGTGCTCTATATCTTGATATATTTGATTCCAAATTGATTGAATTTCGAGGACGAAATACTTTTAAGGAGGTAAGATTGTTACACCCCATTTCATACTAGTCAAAACTCAATATTATTTATTCAAAGTCAAATGTTCGACTAGTCAGAACCAAGGTCCGTTAGGGACTTAAATGAAATTAATTATTTTAGTGGGGTTTATTTTATGATTTAAGATGTATGAATGTTTAAGATGGATATCATTTAAATTCGGGGAAATACTTATTAATTATTAGAAGTTAGATGACTTAATAAGATATCATGTGAAGTTTGGAGGACTTTATAGAAAAAGGGTTTAGTTTGTGGATTACAAATGGTACCTTGCAAGCCATTTCTTTCATTTTTCATATTACATACATACACATAAAGAAGCTAGAAATTGGGGCAGAAATAGAGAGAAAAACCGGCAAAAGAAAGAGAAAAAGAGAAGAAGAGAAGAAGAAAGAAAAGGAAGAAGAAGAAGGAAGAGGAAGAAAAAATGATGGTAATACCTACATGGTCCTTAAAGTTCTTCCTTAATTTCTTCAGGTAAGTAAAAGATGTATTTATGGGAAATAATTCTTGAATTTAAGGTTTGCAAACAATTACTCATGTTTAAAGTTTGACAAGAATTAAAGATTATGAATATTTATCTGAGGTTATAACTAAATTATGGCAAAGAAATATGTAATTGTCAATTAGTGTTGAAGAAATTGGAATTTGAGATGGGTTTATGAAAGAAATACATATTTTTGAAATTCTTGGGACTATATGATGCTAAAACACTTAAATTAAGGATTTGAGGTTGAAATTCTCCATTTTTCCTAAAGAAATTTTCAGGTTATGTAATGAAGGTGCTAATTTTGAAATTTTCCCAAAAAAGTGTTATTTCTATCCATATTTTGGTGAAGGCTTCTAAAAGTTAAATTCATTTCAGTTAAACTATTTCATTGGCATGTTATATAAGTATTAAATGTCTCAGCATATTTAAAGTTTTTTTAAAAATCACCAAAAAGTACTCAAGTGATTTTATCCTAGTCTGCACTGATGTGAATGTATTTCCATAGAATATAACCAATTATGGTTATTTTACCCGCACTGGTGTTAATGTGTTTCCATTGTGTATGACCAGTTATGATGATTTTACTCACTCTGCACTATTGTGAATATGTATCTATAGTGTATGACCAGATTGTCAGAGGTCTTTGGGACCCACTCTCGTACACACATAGGCTTTGGGCCGTGTACTAGGGTGAGCCTTTGGGACATCTCTGCGTACGTATGACCAGATTATTAGATTTGAATAGCTTTGTCTTGTACGTCGAGATTACTCTATACATGAGTAAGGCTATTCATTGGATACCTTTTCGGTGTGATTTTTCAGTATTTCTATAGCTTATCAAATTTCAGATTATAGAATTTAGTTTATTCAATTCTTAGAATATAGCTTTCAGCTTGTTGCATTGAGTAGCAGCAACATTTCGTGGATTTTCATTTATATCATATTATTTATATTCAGAGTTACTTATCTAAAATGAAGAACAAAGAATTTTATGATCCAATCATGTTTCAGTTTTAAAAGTGTTACTAGATTTCAGAATTTCTCAAAGTTTAATAGGGTAAGAATTTTCAAAAAATATGCATAAAAGAAAAAGTATACTTTTTTGCAAATTATCCACTCATCGAGCTTTAAGCTCATATATTTTTTTACCTTTTTCTTTATCAGACAAACATCAGTCAAATTGAGTAGCTTTGGAGCTATCGAAGTAATGAATTGAGCCACGCATTATAGGTTGTATGATATCCTTTATTGGATTATACATTATGTGTTCTTTTGGAATACATGTAGTTTAAATCCAAAATGTTCGTTTTGGGCTCATTAAATATTTGGCATCTTTAGTATATTTGAGGATTGTTGGTTGTAACACAAGTAAATATTGAATAGCCAGCATTTTATTTGAATAGTTTGTATTTTGAGGGACTGAGGTACCTTGATTTATATTATAGATATTGATTTGAGGAAAATTGGTTATTGTTCAGGTGGTTTTAGTTCGTATTTTAGATGAAACTTTGTCACAATTTTGTTAAAAATATTTTTTAATCAGACAAGTCAGGGTTGCCTTGGTGGTAGGTCCGACATTTAGTTAGTTACCATCGACGTACAACACGTGTCGGATCCATTAAGGTGATTCGAGACAGGTCGTGTCATCAATGGCTTCTAAGCGTGAGAAAGTTGGTTCCAATTAAGTCTGAATTAATGAAAAAGGTTACTCCCTTTTCACGTGCTACTGCATATTGTCTGTTGTTCATTGCAGGAGCTACAACTGTTGTGAGACTCTTACCGAAGTGACTATGGGAACCTCTAGACCACACTTGCAGGTTTTAGGATGTGATTTTTTATTTAAAGTCATAATTCACTTGTATTGGACCATACAGTTGTAGGCTGCTCACCATAGAAACCTGGACAACCATGGCTAGAGGTTGTGAAGGCTGGTAATTGTCTTGATGACTTTCATCAAAGTCTAAGCTATCTTCGTTGCCCATTACTAAAAGCTGGTAACAAGTGTAGCTCTCTGGAAGACCTTTGCTAGAGGTTGTGCCTAAAGATGTTAAAAAAAATCATTTAACCCGATTCTCATGGGTCGGATGGAGATTATCTTAATAGGGTAAATGGGCGGGCACCAAGTAGGGTTCATTGTCTCGAAGCCGGTTCGAGAAACATGATCCCTATCCTGCTACATACCCCCATTTAAAATTAATTTTAAATTTAAGATTTTTATCAAACAAAAACAAAAGATTTATTATCATGTTTGTTAGAATTAGGGTGTGATCCGAATTTTATGAAAGTCTATTTGAGAATTTTATTTGAAATCCAATGGGGAATTTTAGTTGAAGTCTATTTGGAAATTTAAGTTAGAATTGAATTTTGGTATTGGTAGTAAACTTGAAAATATCTTGAAGGAGTCCAAGTTGCAATTTGTTTCTATTTGCATTTTGTGCAATGTTTTACTCCTATTTTATCCCAAATATCCCATTATTAGTTTTACATATTGTATTGAGAGTTCACCTTATATTAAAATCTTCATTGTGTTATATTCCTAACATGTTATGGATCGTGGTGTACAACATACATTAAATCAATCCTCGTTAAATAAGATTGTGTCTATTCACAAAGAAGATAAAGTATCTTGTTGAATTTGAGGTCCCATAGAGATGATCTTGTTATTGATGGTGATTATATGAGGGACTAATTAAAGTTTAATTACAGTAATAAATTATGTAATTATCGCAAGAGACGGGACACATAAGAAATGATTGTTATAAGTTGCATAAGAATGAAAATTTAGATGCTGCGAATCAGAAGGAAAAACAATTAGAAACTTCATGTGAAGTCAACTTTGCAGAAAATAGGTGCAATGATGGGGAACTTTTGGTTACTTTCATGTCAACCTGACAAAATTGTTTCACCCATTTTCGGTGCATGTCTGTGTAGAGGAGTATTTAAGCATTTACCTTTATTATTACTTTTTAAGTGAAAGTATAATGTTGCTTAAATTGGATTATATCGTTAATGTTCTTCTAAGCATTTGCCTTGGTATTAGATGCCAAATATGACGTGACACTGAAATTAGTATTAGGAGTGCTAAGATGGGATTTGAAATTTGTTCTTTACTTAGCTAATTGTTTGAGTCAAGTTTGCACCCTGTACCATTCAATTTGGCGGTTGAAAATAATATGACAATTGAATATCATTCGACTCCATATTTTGTAATTATATGTCTTACACACGCTTGCAGTTCGACGTCATAACATGTCCAACAGTGGGCCAAGGCTTGATACCTGTGTTTGACAAGGAAAGAGGTGGGAGAATATGGTTGGGGATCTAAGCTGAAGTGGAAATATAGGCCAATGAGTGTTTGGAGTTGTCTAATTGCTTACTATATTAATAAATCTTTAAGTCATTCACGACTTATAAACTCAATTCACCGAATAAAAAACTACAAAGAATGTATGAATAAGTTAACCCAACTTGCAAAAATAATAACAATACTATTAAATTTTTAAGTAAGACTCTCGATTATGTATTTATTAACTCTGGTCACATAATAGCAAAATTAATTACTAAAATAATCGTAAAATAAGGACAATATTAATAAATCTTCTCAAAATACGTAGTTGTTAACTAAATTCACAGAATAGCAAAGCACAATGTGAACATTAAGATAATCAGTATCAAATATGCACATAAAGCCTGTAGTTAAGGTATTTTTGGTAAAACTAGAATCCTTCTATATTTTCAATCTAAGTCCTCCACCATCGCAAACACCAGTTAGATTAAGACATGCTACACTCTTAGTATGAATAGTTTATCGGTCTGGGCATGGATGTTCATATTGGGACATCTTGTTTGGGTTACTGGATTTATGTTCTTAATTTCCTGGCATGGATATTGGCATGAATTGATTGAAACTTTAGCATCGGCTCATGAACACACACTTTTGGCCAATTTGATACGATGGAGAGAGATAAACCTGTGGCACTTTCCATTGTCCAAGCAAGATTGGTTGGATTAGCCCACTTTTCTGTAGGTTATATATTCACTTATCGTTCAGGCGTTAAAAATCGGTGAGGTTTACTCTTCCTTTGAAATTCGAAGAAGCACCCGTGGTCCTCTTGTCTATCAATAGTTAAATCAAATTTTTCTTCGAAAAATGAAATTTCTAGTCAATGCAAAATGGAAGTATGATAATTTTCTAATAATTCCTTATTGACAACATATCTAGATGATAGATATCTGTGTAAAAAATTTTGTTCTGTGGTTTACATATACTCGTCTATTTTATTAAAATAGAAATTGAGAAGGATTTTTTTGATTGAAAAAAATTAGCCAATTTAGCTCTTAATACAGGATCATTCAAATCAAGTTATTTTATTTTATGTTGTTTTTGTTTTTGTTTTTGTTTTTGTTATTGGGATAGGTGAATTCTTATAGATCCATCCTCCGAAGGAGCCGGACATGATAATTTTTTATCATCTAGCTTGAGCAAGTGTTTTCCTAATGATATTATAAAATAAAAATTGAGATAGAATTAATCAGTATTGATTTTTTCATTCAAAAAATCTTTCTCAATTTCTATTATTACTAAATAGATGAGTATATGTAAACCCCAGAACAGAAATCGTTACTCAAATATCTAGGTTAGCCAAAAGCTGGTTATCGGTTCAAGAATGTAAGGTGCCCATGATTTTTTAGGGTAAGAAGGGTAGAGGAAATGCCTCAAGCCAGTGTTCGAGGTTCAGGCGCTGCAGCACTGAACTAACCCACAAGTACACTCGTAGCTATAGCTCTAACTCGATTATTTCTTAATAATTGATGTACCTCACAAGTCATATTAATTGCTTGACCGACAGTATCTCAAAATTTAATTACCAGAGTGCTATAAATATTAGGCATCTTGCCTGGTAGAATGGGAATGAAAAACAGGAGATACGCATTCTCAAAATATGGACAAATGGGAGTTTAACTCCGAAAGAAGCACTTCATGAAGCCTGTCGAAATTTGATTGATTTATTTAATCCCCTTTAACATAAATGGTTCTTTTTAAACACAAGGAATAATTCATTCTAAATTAAGGGATAATAGAATTCCGAGTTTTGAAATGAATTAATGGAAAATCTGGTTAAGAAGGCATTATCAATATGATTTATCTTAGATCAGATGGTCTAGATTAACACCACAACAATGGTGGAATAGAGTTTATCAAAGTCGTATGGTTAAAAGGACACGACGAGCATAAATATCATCTTTAACTTCTATTCTAATGAACTGAATATCTTGTATAAGGAATCGAAGAAATATGTGACGATTTTTTCAGGAAATCCCAACGAAAAATACACGCTATCCCTTCATTTCTTCATAAACCGAGTTATCTTTAGAGCCCATCTCTGTTCATCGAAAAGTGGAATTCGTCCTACATTTTTTCCATTACATTCACTTGAATTTCTTCCATTTCATCGATTTTGTTCATATCTTCCTTTTCTTCCCCAAAAAAAGGAAGGAGAATGATCTTCTTCGACAGATCTCCAAATTGTGTTTTCCTAATGACATTATAAAATACGAATTGAGATAGAACTAATCAATATGATTTTTTAAATAAAAAAATCCCCTCAATTTCTATTATTACAAAATAGATGAGTATATGTAAACTCTAGAATAGAAATTGTTATCTGAAATATTAATTATAATATTGTTCTACTTAAGGAGTAACAACATGATAAGTAATTATCAATTTAAAATTTATAGAAGAACATTTAAAAGTATTTAACTAGATTAAAAATACTAATTACCATATAAAAATGATATAAATTTATATAAAAAAAATAATTGCCAAACATAACGATTGTTGCATAAATTTATACAAATTTTGGTACAATGTACCGAATGAAGAATTATGGAATTGTGCGTAAAGAAAAAAATATCCACATGTATTTAAAAAAAGAAGAAGTAATCAATATCTACCATTTACATTCTAACTTTGACTATAAACCATGGAAATATGCAGAAACTTTTACACACTAATAATTTGGCAGACAATTAATTGGTCAGTGGGCAACTTGAATATGATTGCATTACAAAGACAAGTCGGCCGAAATATGATTGAGTATGAATCGACCTAAATTTCACAAAGTAATTTTTAACATCATAGATTGAATGCGAGTATTGACAGATTATAGCAGAAAGCCCAAATATACACAAATTAATGTGCTATATGCATGTGTATAAAAAAATTCAAATGTCACCAAATTAATTTTGATTCACATGATAGATGACTTTGTTTAAAAAAATAACTACCTTCAAGACTTTGGAGAATTAAGCATTCGTAAGAATAACGTGTTATAAAAAGAGAGAAAAGGAGAAGAGAAAATAAAAGTTAATAGATTTATGTGTATTGTAATGGACCAAAGCTTTACATTTATAGGGAAGGATTAAGGATAAAATGATAATAATTTCTAGTGCTGTAGGGGTGCAATTGTCAATCATTAATAATCTTACCATTCACAATAAGTTTTACTATTTTTAAAAATGAAGGTACTTTGTAATTTCTTTTTTTTTTATACATATATGAACGCAACCACTTATTCAGTAGAACCCAACTTAGTCAAACCCCTGAACCAACCCCATTTCAAAAAACACATCCGAGATGTAGAGTTTTGATACATTACACACTCCATTAAATAAGAAACTTAATGAGGAAATTACACCCCAACCTACTTTGAAAGATCTATGTTTGAAAATCAGGTGAGAGGTTTCACATTTCACAAATTAGATATTTCATATTTAAATATTAAATCTACAATTTTCAAACCAAACCCCAATCAGTTTTCCCTCCTTTCTCTCTCTTTATCTCACATTGCCAGCGGCTGCATTCTCTATCTCCCATTCTCTTATCTTTAAATCGATAATATTTCTTTATAATATTTTCGTATTAATTTTAAAAATTTTGTGAATTGCTTTTGTAACTATGGCCCAAAAAACAAAGAAAGATGAGACGAAATTCAAGGTCATACCTGAGGCCATCACGCTATGTGTTAAATGCGGTGTTGCTTTGGCCAAGGATTTGCGTAAAAAATATTTCAGCGCCACCGCAGTTGGGTCCGCGTCCACTGTGGTCACGACGGTTGCAGGATCTAAAAAATCATTTTGATCTAGCTTGTCCTCGAGGTCTTCGCTTGAGAGGAAATTGAAACCTGTGGAGATCAATAAGGGTTTGAAGAAAGAGGATTTGGAGTCGACGGAGCTTTTACATGTGAAGAAAGAGGTAAATTGGTGCTCTAATTGCCAGAGGAAGGTCAATTTGACCAAATTTAGATGTAGATACAGCAAGCTCTTTTACGCCAATCATCGTTATTCCTATTGGCACGACTGCAGCTACATCTACAAAGCTGCTGGAAGAGAGGCTATCTCAAGGGAAGATCAGGTTGTTAAAGCAGCTAAAATTGTCAAATTTTGAAGAAACAATTATCGAATTTATACATGTATGTATCAATCCAGAAGTAACGTGAAATGAAATTGATAAAAAATTGGGGACCCTGGAACCTGGCTCGATCTCCATCTTTAACACATCTTCAATTGATAGAGGAAGAGAAATTGAGGTGGTGGTCACAAGTGTTGGTTGTGGTCACAAATATTTGGTTGACTAGTGACCACTAAATCGGTTAATTTGTGATCAATTAAAAAGATAAATTGTGACAAAAAATTAATCTGTGACTTAAAAATTTGTTAATCTGTAACCAATGATTTGATAATTTGTAACTATATAATAAATTGTGACATATAAATATTTGTGATTTGTGATCAATAAATAAATCGTGACTTATAAATATTTTGATTTGTGACCGATGAACAAACTGTGACTTATAAAATTTTTGAATTGTGATCGTAAAATAATTTGTGACATAAAATTTATGATTTGTGACCAAAAAATAATAAGTGAATAAATAAATCGTTAATTTATGACCAAATCGAACCATCGCTCGAGTGCCACGTCGGCACCATGTGAGTGGTAACTCCGCCGCTTGAGTGGTAGGCTGGCGCTAAGTGAGTGCTAGCACCCTTATTTTAAGTGTTTGACCAGGAGACAAATGCCTAGCGAGCAAAAATGCATTGAGATTTTCTCCTTGTTTCATAATTTAAGTTCTTCAAGTCCCCTTCAACAAAAACACCAATACCTAGTAGAATTTAGATTATACTTCAACATTCTACGCCTTGAACCAAATTTTAATGCAAGGAATTATGCAACACTCTTCAGTGAATTACCAAACAACTACTTTACGACTTCCACACAAGACTCAATGGGTTAATATCAATAACAAATACCAACTAAGTTCAAGCAATGATCAACCTTGCTCACTACAATATCAACAAAATCTTTTCGATGGTTTATTAATATATATAAAGATTTTAATAAATGTGACAACAAGTTTAACGAAAAATTCATTCATTTTGGAAAGGACACGAATAATTACTTTATGCACAAAGTAATGTGCTTTGTCATCTTGTGAAACATTTGATCTTTTGTTAGAAAGATAGCATTTCGACCATCACAATACATTGTATAAATCTACATTAATTTCACCAACCAAACCTCTCAACCACATAGCCCTCTTACATGGCTATTACATGCCTATGTAATAGCCATATGCTCTGTCTCCGTTGTAGATAATGTTACTGCATTTTGCAAAGTTGCTTTTTAACTAATAGTGCGACCTCCAAAGGTAAGCACATATATTGTGAGTGATATCCTCTTATCAAGATCCCCTACATAATCTGAATCTATATACACAATGATTCTATATGTATTCCTACCAAAATGCAAACAAATATTAGTAGATAGATTCTCTCAAAGATCTGAATATTCACTGCATTTTTTTCTAATATTCATTTCCAGGATTTGCCATGTATATGCTAATTACACTTGCTACATGTACAAATTTTGGGCAAGTACAAACCACATCATACATAAGCAATCTTATTGGACATGAATAATGAACTCAAGACATGTAATTAATCTTTTCATCGGATTGCAGACGCAAGTTAGATGATAACAAAAAATGGGCAACCAAAGAGCATTGATAGCCTTTACGTTTTGCATATTGAACTTGTAAAGTACCTTCTCAATGTACTTTTTAGACTCAAATAGTACCCATCAGGCTTTTCTATCCCTCAAGAATCGAAATCGAGAATTTTTTTTGTTGCCCCCATATCTTTCATCTCAAACTCTTTTTTGAGGTTAGTTGTTATAAGCATATCATCAACACACAACTATAGATATGTACTTGACCCATTATCACACTTTTTGAAGTATATACAGCTATCATAATTGCTTCTAATGAAATTATGAGTAGTCATGAATGAATAAAACATCTTATACCATGACCTTGGTGATTACTTTAGTCCATACAATGACTTTTTCAACAAGCACACATAGTTCTCTTTTCCAATAACTATGAAATTCTCTGGTTGTTGAACATAAATATTCTTCTCCAGTTTTTCATGTAAGAGTCCTGTCTTGATATACTTGTTCCAAGTCATCCTTAGCCGTAGCCCAATGCAAAGTTCGAATTGAACTATGCTTTACAACTGGTGAGAACATATTTGTAAATTTCACACTAGGAATCTAACCTAACCCTTAGATACTAATTTGGTCTTTTCAACCACTGATATACCTTCCTTTCTTTTGAATACCTATCCATAGCGAACAAACTTCTTCTCCTTGGGTAATTTCACCACCTTCTACATAGCAATCAACCATTGTTTAAATCACTACAACCGACTGCTTTTATATATGTAGTAGGCTCTTTAGTAGAATTAATACTATTAGCCACAACCAATGCATAAGCTACCAAGTCTGCCTTTCCTTACTTTTGTGGAGGTCTAATCTCCCTACAAGGTCTATCATTTGCGATCAAATACTACGGTGCAAGTGTTGGTGGAGGTAAAGCAGGTAGAGTGTTATTTTCTTCTACCTTTAAACTAGACTGATTTGAGTCCTCTGATTTTTCTTCTGAACTAACTTCCAACTGCACCTAAGTATTTTGATTAAGTTGTTATATATTTACTAGAATCTCCACGAGGCAAATTTTGAACTATTACAAATTCATAAAATACTATTTCTCTACTAATTACCACCTTTCCTTTTTTCTACACCACAATCTATATTATTTCACATCTGATTTGTACCTCATGAAGATATACTTTCTAGAACTTGACTCCAACTTTTCATTATTCGCATGAGTATTATTGGGGTAACCAAATATTTTTAAATCAGAATAACTGGAAAGATTACTAGACCCTACCTCTTCTGCTTTTTTTTTTTTTCAATGGCAATTGGGAGTGAGCTATTAATGAGAAAACAAGTTGTAGTAGCGACTTTAGCCCAAAAAATTCTTAGGCAACCCAGTAATTAAAAGTATACAACAACCCTTTTATATTAAGGTTCTATTTATCTGTTTTGTCATACCTTTATATTTTGGAGTTCTAAATACTTGTAATTCTTTACTATGCTTGTCCAGGTTGTTATTGATTCAGAAAAAGCCTCAATTTGTCAAAAAATAAAAATAAATAGGCCTCCATCTTTGCTTGCAAATTCTCAATGAAATGTTCCAAATGGATTTCTTCTCATTCCAAGACTTCATTGACCAACATAACATGTTGTAACCACTGTTAGCAAGCATCAAGGCAGCCAATATGTGAAACGAGCCTCAAATTTAGGCGCTAGGCTGGCCTTCACGTGCTAGATCCTCCGTTAGCACCCGTTGAATAGCTGATGTGTTCCATGCCTTTCGACAAAGTAGTCATCGAGGCCTAATATCAGATGAATAAATAAATGACAAAAATCATGAAAGTAAGAAAAGTGGATGTTCGAAATGGTTTGGTGATTAGTGAATTGGCTCAACTTCGAGCTTCAATTTTAATGAGACCCATACTTCAATTTTAATGGGATCAAGCATATTCACGCTCTATTCTGGGAGATAGTTAATATGATATATTTGTTTATCGAAAAAAATTTAGAATTGAACGAAATATTTGATGTCAAAATAATCAACTTGAAACCATAAACTAGTAAAGAATTTGATTTATTGGAAATTATTAAACACTTATACCACATAGGAAAGTTAGAAAACTTTGGTATGATTTATAAAGTGAAAGTCTGGCAATTGGGTTTGGGCCCCAAGGGGTACCATTAGTCTATGAAAAGAGTAGACCAATATCCTATTGGGTTTAGTCCTAAACCCACATGCACACGGCACAAGCATGAGCACTTGCCCTTATCTGACTCTGGTCATATTCAAATATAGGTGCATCCTTGTACTATATTATCTTTTTGAACAAAATTTATTTAAATTTTGGTGAAATTGTAACAAATCAAATTTTTGGGTGCTTAATGACATTATTTTTAAACTGTATTTTTTATTTCCTATCGTTGGCCAACGAAAAATGCTTTTTATTTGATAACATTAAGTTTGACAATTTAGTTTAATAATTAGTGAATTTATACTCTGAAAACAACAAGCTTAAAATGAACTTATTATTCTGTTATATTATGTTTCTACTACTTTTTACTGTTTATCATCTGATTGTCTTTCAGAAATGGCAAGTTTGAGTATTACACTCCCTAACATGACTAGAGAAAATTTTAAAAAATTTAATGAGTCAGATTTGAAATATTGGCAATAGAAAATATTTTTTTTATTCGACAACATTAAGCTTTCCCGAGTATTTTTTGGTCTGGCCGTGTAGGTCGACTGTGAATCAACTTAACAAGCGCAGTGTTTTAGTCTCAATAGAGCTATTGGTTTGGCTTTAGAGGGCTATCTAAGTAATTATAACTATTTTGAAAAGGCTTGGAGGATGTTCAAATGACCACAATTGAATCTATACATAGCCTGTCATGCTGTTAAAATAATTATATCGTTTTCATTACAAACTTTCTCTATTATGAATCTCATTCTCTCTCTCATTTTGATATTGTTCTCCAAGTGAAAATATTGCACCGAGTCCATAGAAACTCCTGCAGATTGCTTTGCTACTTCTGTAGGAATAAAAATTCGTTCTATCATGGGATACTACCACTGAACACTCTTAGCACCTTTGAAGGCAACAAATTCATTTTAAGGAGTCAATGGGATCAAATTAATATTCTGATCATGTTGATCAACTCGTTACATTGTTCAAATTACATTACAGTAATTCTATTTGTTTAATATATTTGATTGTTCGATGGAGAAATTTATACTTTAGAAAAACAATATTAAAATGAATTTATTATTTTAGTTTATTCTATTTCTATGCATTCTTACTATTTATCTTTTGATTGTGTTTTAGAAATGACAAACTCTGGTACTACACACCCTAATACGACAGGAGAAAATTTCCAAAAATTCAATAGGTCAGATTTTAAGCGTTCACAACAAATTTTTTTTTATCTAATAACATTAAGTTTGCTAAAAT